CGTGGCTCTGGGATTCAAAGGTTTAGTGCCTCTGAATGTGGATGTTCCCCTCAGTCACCACAGCTAGTGGCCACTGATAGACATATCCTCCATGAATCTATCAAATCCCCTTTTAAAGCTGTCTACACCTGTGGTAAATACAACATCCTCTGACATTGAATTCTACCTTTTAATCACACTCTGTTTAAAGCAGTATTTCCTTTTGTCCGTTCTGAAACTACTGCCCATCAGCTTCTTTGGATGTCCGCGAGTTCTAGTATTCAGTTTCAGCAATCAAGTCGCTGGATAACAGACCATAGTGGGTCACGGAAAGGGGTGGAGGAGGTGGAATGAGCATCCCAGAATCCTCTAAATGGAGACGTTGAGCTGCGTGCCAAGCAAAGGTTATTCTTGACCTTTGAAGAAGAGGAAGGTGGCGGAGGAGGAGGAGATTGGATTCATACCCTAACCCTTCACTACCCAAAGGAGTCTCAGAGCGGCTTACCATCCCTTCCCCTTCCCCTCTCCCCAACACCCTGTGAGGTACGTGGGGCTGAGAGAGCTCTCTCGAGGAGTGTTCTTGAGAGAACAGCTCTGAGAGAACTTGTGACTTACCCAAGGTCACACCAGCAGCTGCGTGTGGAGGAGTGGGGGAATCAAACCCGGTTCTCCCAGATTAGAGTCCGCACACTTAACCACTACACCAAACTGGCTCTCCAAGATGCTTTTGGCACCTGTTTCTTGTGAATAAAATTATCATCATCATCATCATCATCATCATCATCATCATCATCATCATACCCTATCCCCACTTACGCCGGGCTCTGGGCTATGTACACAAGGATATAATGCCATAAAAACATATAAAACATTAAAATTCTAAAGAACAATCTAATAAAACTAAAGACCCAAAGCAGCAGAAGAAGAAGAGATTGGATTTATCCCCCGCCCTTCACTCGGAGTCTCAGAGCGGCTTACAAGCTCCTTTCCCTTCCCCTCCCCACAACAGACACCCTGTGAGGTAAAAGAAGAAGAGGAGATTGGATTTATGCCCCACCCTTCACTACCCGAAGGAGTCTCAGAGCGGCTTACAAACTCCTTTCCCTTCCCCTCCCCACAACAGACACCCTGTGAGGTAAAAGAAGAAGAGGAGATTGGATTTATGCCCCACCCTTCACTACCCGAAGGAGTCTCAGAGCGGCTTACAAGCTCCTTTCCCTTCCCCTCCCCACAACAGACACCCTGTGAGGTAGGTGGGGCTGAGAGAACTCTGACACAAACTGCTCTTTTTCAAGGACAGCTGTGCCAGAACTATGGCTTGCCCAAGGTCATCCAGCAGGTGCAAGTGGAGGAAGGAGAAGAAGAAGAAGAAGAGATTGGATTTATACCCCACCCTTCACTTGGAGTCTCAGAGCAGCTTACAAACTCCTTTCCCTTCCCCTCCCCACAACAGACACCCTGTGAGGTAGGTGGGGCTGAGAGAGCTCTGACAGGAACTGCTCTTTTTCAAGGACAGCTCTTATCAGAACTACGGCTTGCCCAAGGGCATCCAGCCAGGTGCAAGTGGAGGAGTGGGGAATCAAACCCAGCTCTCCCAGATTAGAGTCTGCGCACTTAACCACGACACCAAGTCCATGATGATGGCATCCCAGAGATTTCAACCCTACTCTGGGCAGGGGGAGAGGGAACGCTGAACAGCAGTTCAAAGGGGGGGGAAGAGAAGGGAGCGTGCCAGCCAAGGAAGAAACATCGCTGCCCTCGACCAAAAGCCTGGCGGGACACCTCCGCCTTACAGACCCTGCAGAATGGCATAAGATCCCGCCGGGCCCTGATGTCATTTGGCAGAGAGTCCCACCAGGTCGGGGTCACGACCGAAAAGGATGGGGACAGCCGGACATCCCTGGGGCCGGCCGGGGATATCCCCAGCAGATTATCAATAGAGCACGAGGCTCTCTCGGGGGGCGTACTGGAGGAGACAGTCCCATAGATACGCTGGGGCTGTGGCTACCAGGAAAGCAAATGAATGTGGAGTGGTTTCACCCAAATGTTTCCGTCAGGTTCCTCTATGGGATCTGCTCTCGGCACCAGCTTCAGATCATGAGCCAAAGCCACCACCCCCTACTTCCCCCCAGCCCAGGAACAAGGCTCCTGGGACAAGTATCCTCATTTTACGAAGAAGAAGAAGAGGAAGAAGAAGAAGAAGAGGAAGAGGAGGAAGAGGAAGAAGAAGAGGAGGAGGAGGAGGAAGAAGAAGAGGAGGAAGAAGAAGAGGAGGAGGAAGAAGAAGAAGAGGAGGAAGAAGAAGAGGAGGAGGAGGAAGAAGAAGAAGAGGAGGAAGAAGAAGAAGAAGAGGAAGAGGAGGAAGAGGAAGAAGAAGAGGAGGAGGAGGAGGAGGAGGAGATTGGATTTATACCCTCGCCCTTCACTACCCAAAGGAGTCTCAGAGCGGCTTACAAACTCCTTTCCCTTCCCCTCCCCACAACAGACACCCTGTGAGGTCGGTGGGGCTGAGAGAGCTCTTGACAGAAACTGCTCTTTTTCAAGAACAGCTCTTATCAGAACTATGGCTTGCCCAAGGTCATCCAGCAGCTGCATGTGGAGGAGTGGGGAAATCAAATCCGGTTCTCCCAGATTAGAGTCCGCACACTTAAACCTCTACGCCAAACTGGGACTAGTATTCTCATTTTACAAACAATAACAACATATAAGAGAGAAGTGGTGGAGGAAAGCGGTGGAAAAGTTGCAGCCGACTTATGGTGACCCTGTAGGATTTCCAAGGCAAGAGGGAACAAAAGTGGTTTCCCATCGCCTGCCCCTGCGTAGCGACCCTGGACTTTCTTGGAGGTCTCCCATCCAAGTACTAACCAGGACCAGCCCTGCACAGCATCCGAGTTCTGACAAGATCAGCTACCCTGGGCCACCCAAGTCAGGGGTATGAGAGAGAAGGCCCTGCGCCAAATCCGTGGCAGGGGCAGAACTCGAACCCAGGTCCAAGATCAACTCTCTGTCACATGGACATCATTCCCGGCAAATCTGCTTTAGCCAAAAATGACTGCTGAGCTAAAACCACAGCCCCCCCCCACCAGCCCACCCCCCCTTGAGTTTCCATTTGATAACCAGTCGCACGTGATGTCGGGGAGTTCGACACTGGGGGTGCGCAAACGTGAAACCCCACGCGCTCGCCGTGCACTTGCTGGAGTTGATCTCCTAATTACTTGACACGTTCTCTAAGGCCTACAAAGACCGGCGTAAACAGATTAACTAAATTAGTCCAATTAGACATTCCCTAATGAAATGAAACGCTCCAGACACTGCGAAGAATTAAACGGCGGTGGGGGGGTGGGAAAGCTTTCATCAGGCAAACAACTCGTCCGGAGTATAACCAAAAGCGCGAAAGGAATCCCAGAACAAAAACCGACAGAAGTTGGAACAACGCAGAAGGGGCAAAGGTGGGCCTGGCCCCTCGTCCCCAAGAAAAGACGACCGTCTGGAACACCTCCTCATGGCATCTGCGTAAGTCACCGTTTTCTCCCGCAGAACACAATGGGATGGTCCCGGGGGAAGCAAGATGGAGTCTGAGACCCAAGCCGCGGCGACGGCGGCCTTTGTCACTATAGGAAGGGGTGCTTTTCCTTCCATTTATCCGGGAATACAGGGTAGGAAAATGGGGGAAGGAACTTGTTTATCAAATTCCACATCTCCGCCATGGTTTGTTCCAGGGGTCTTGTTGTAGAAAAAGAGCTGCCGGAGCTCATTAGCATAACTCATTAGCATAACTTATTTGCATATGCCACGCCCCCTGACATCACCGGAAGTGACAGAAGGCCACACCCCCTGACATCACCGGAAGTGTGTCAGAAGGCCCGGCTACTTACCCTCCTGCTTCATCCTCATTCCCAAACGGAATGAGGATCGAAGCAGAGGGCGGGGTAAAGAAGGGGGCGGGGCTTCACCACGTGACCGCCCCGCCCCCTAGAGGTTCTCTTCCGGAGCTCCGTACCTGAGAGCTCCCCCCCGACTAGAGCCCTGGTTTGTTCTAACTTTTCGAGCGGCAGCCACTGGGCCCAGGGCAGTTCACAGCCACAAAGTAATGCAATCATGGGGGGGGAAATAGCAATGAGCAAAAAGAGAGCAGCGTAATAAGAAACAATTCAGAATCGAGCAGCAACATCAGCCATGAAGCCAGCACACGCCCAACGGGGAAACAACCGAAAAGATGCTTCCGAGCCGTTTTCAAAGGCAGCCCCCACACAGAGTGAGTTGCGATAAACTGGGAAACCTGGAAGGGACAACCTCTTTTAAACTGCGTGAACCCGGCTGCGCCTGAAGAATACGATGCCCTGATCTTCCCCTATCAACATCTTCTAGATTTACAGGTGGGACCCTTCAGGAAGGGACGGTGGATTAAAATGTGAGCACTGTGATGAAATGTACGGTCTTAAGAGCCGTACATGTAATTCAGCAACTATAATTTATTTCATGATACAGGAGAACGAACTTGACAGTAAATTCCGGCAACAGACTAGTTTAATGACTTAGGGGTATGCCGGATGCATAATTCACATTTGAAACTCCATATCGTAATTCTGTTTTTAAATGATGCTTACGCCTCTGGTAATATTACACACCTTGGCAGTGGGTTGCTAATACCAAAGACAAGTCCTAATTGCATGACAAAACATCTAGAAAACTGGACGTGGGGGCCACTGCAGTGCTCACAAACATTCATCAAATAAAGCATAACAAAAGAGTCCCACGAGAAGTAAGGGGCAGTGTGGCATAGTGGTTAGAATGGGATTCGGGCTTTGGAGACCCAGGTTCAAATCCTTGTTCTGTTGTGGGTTACCTTGGGCCAGTCATACACTCAACTCTCTTTCTCTCTCTCGGTCCAACCTACCTCACAGGGTCGTTGTGCGTATAAAATGGAGGGCAGGGGATCAATGTACAATGGCCCGGCCTCTGTGCAGAAAGGTCGGGATATTAAACATATTATGCAAACAACATATTAAATAAACCAATACCTTCCTTTTGACGTGGCTGGCACTGTCCTCCAAAAGATGGCCCCGGATAAGGCCCTGCGCTTCCGTCAGTTCCATGACGTCTTTGGGGGGTGACGGAGCATGCTCAGGCAGCGGGGACATGAGAGACTGCAGCTCATGAGAATCGGATGGAGTCACGGTGGGAGGCAGCGGCTGCCGGTTCCGGAGATAGTACACGTGGTTCCCAGCGGCTTGGGCATCCAGACCTGGCACTGACGCCCTGCAAAAGATGAACAAAAATTAGCGCTCACTGCCTGGGCGCCACACCTGGATACAGGAATAGAGGAAACTGCCTTCGATTGGACCACAGGGCAAGTGGAGAGGAAGCTTTAGCTCCCCTTGCCTCATTTCCCCAACCTGAAAGGGCCCCAAGATACCACTATCTGCCCTACTGGACACATTTATGTGTAGCTCATCAGTACACATGGGAGGCCTGTAGCCAGGATTTTGTGGCTTGTGGGGCAATTTCCCCCCCTGGTGGGGCTGAACTTCTCAGTGCAGAAAGGAAAGCCATTGAGCCAATAGAAAGCTGCTACCAGGATAGAGCTCTACATTGCAAGCTGCCAGCCACTTTAGATGACAGTTCTCAGCTGCTGCAAGTTAATCACTTCTGCCAGCCTAAGCAACAACTCTGAGAACAAGCTGGCAGGTGGGGGGTGATGACTTCTAGAGTCAAGAAAGCCAACACTCAGGCGGAAAAACTCTCTTAAAGGAGACCACTTTCTTGACACAGAGTTAGAAGTGTTCCCAGAGGTCACCTACTCCAACCCCCTTGCTCCGTGCGGGAATTAGTCAACGACAGCACCCCGCTCTGCTTAAAGGAGCGTGTGCCCTTTAAAAAAAATGACTGGAAAAAGCATTTACAGGAGAAATTCTTGTGGAGCCGTGTCTCTAAGAAAGGGGGCAGAGCCCCGAAAACCCCCACACCGTAGCTACGGGCCTGACGCATGGTGAACTGCACATGTACTGACAAGCTGCACATACATTTTCCCAGACAGTGGTACCTTAGGGCCGTTATGTCTCCCCTCTGCTCTGACACACAGGTTGCTTGTGCGTCAGAGCCGAGGGAGGACTTAAGCTGTGAGCAGATCGGAATCGGGGCCTGAAAATTAAGTTCTTGGTGCCCTTCTGCTCAATGCGGCCCAGGGCACGGTGGGAAACAGTGTTAAACGTGCCATCAGGGCGTGGGAGTGATACCACCATGACTCCTTTGCATATTAGGCCACACACCCCTAACGGAGCCAATCCTCCAAGAGCTTACAGAGCTCTTCTTACAGGGGCTGCTGTAAGCTCTTGGAGGATTGGCTACGTTAGGGGGGGTGTCGCCTGATATGCAAATGAGCTCCTGCTGCAAAAAGAGCCCTGAGCGGGACCTACCTCGGTTTGTTGCTGTGGAAGGTGGCGCACATGCAGAAGAGAATGCAGAGCAGGCCCAGGCAGCCTCCCACGATGATCCCGGTGACCGAGTGAACGTCCAAGAGATCTGGCAGAGGCAGAGGAAAGAGCAGAGAGTCAGCGCTTCCAGTCTGGCAAGGGGCATTCCCAGGGGTCATTTCGTAGAAATGGAGGTGCAGGCAGGGCTATTTCTGGGCAGGAACGCACGGGAACGGCGTTCCGGCCGGCTTCAGAGTTGGCCACGCCCACGACAGCCAAAACCTCTTCATGTGTGGCTACAGAGGGAAGGCCTGGAGAGCGACCCCCCCCATGGGCAACTCCGAGGCGGGGGGGCCAGGGGGGCCCTGGAAAAACCGAGGAGGAATTTAAATGCCTCCCCGTGCCTGTCCAAGGGCCGGCTTGCCCAGGCTCCCTGCAGCTGCTGGGCGCCCAGGCAAGCCAAGGGAAGGCATGGGGGCGTGGCCTAATAGGCTAACAAGCTGCACTGTCAGGGATGTGGCCTAATATGCTAATGAGTTCCTGCTGTTGGGTGTCGCCCATTATGCTAATGAGTTCCTGCTGGGCTTCGCTTCTGATATCTGATGAGATCCGGACAGCCTGGGCAACCCAGGTCGAGGCAAGAGACAAACAGGTGGTTTTGCCATTTCCTGCCTCTGCGTAGCAACCGCGGACTTCCTTGGTGGTCTCCCATCCAAGTACTAACCAGGGCCGACCCTGCTTCGCTTCTGAGATCTGACCCGATCAGGCTATAATGGGCCTTCCAGTTTAGGGTGAATGTTCTTTTAGTTGTTGCTAAAGCTGCAGAGGAGAAAGAACAGAGTAGAGAGGGATTCTGCCCCTATCCATGTGCGCGTGCCTATGGGACAGCCCTCCCAGGGCCGGACAGCCATTTCTAGACTAAAGTGTGTTTGCTGAATCGTTTCCTTCATTTATAACTGGCCTTTCTCAAGCGGTTGAGACGCTGAGCTGCAGACCGGAAGGTCGGTAGTTCGGCAGTTCGAGACCCGAGTGCCGCATGACGCAGTGAGCTCCCGTCTCTGGCCCCAGCTCCTGCCAACTGAGCAGTTCGAAAGCAAGAAATTGCAAGTAGATAAACAGGTACCCCTTCGGTGGGAAGGTAACCAGCGTTCCGTGCGCCTCTGTGTCTAGTCATGCCGGCCACATGACCATGGAGAAGTCTTCGGACAGCGCGGGCTCTTCGGCTTGGAAACGGAGGTGAGCACCGCATCCCTAGAGTCGGACTCAACTGGCCTTCGAGCAAGGGAAATCTTTACCTTTCTCCATCGTGGCATACTGGCATTCTCCTCTCTTCTATTTTACCCTTACAACAAGCCTGTGAGGTAGGTTAGGCTGAAAATGTGTGACTGGCCCAAAATTACCCAGCAGAGCAGGGGTCTGGCTCCCTAGATCCTAGTCCGACTCTCTCACCACGACACCACACTGGCTCTCAAGTTCTAGAACGTTCCAAAGCAGCTTCTGCATGGGTACGAATCCCAGCGATGTGACAGCGCAGCGAGAGTGAAGAAAACATAAGGAACAGCCATCCCAAGACGTGACAATCCGGTACCTGAAAACCGCTCCTGCAGGGTCTGCACATCCTTCACGTTTGAGTATGGGCCGGACCCGACGACCGTCTTTGCTCCCATCTTGAAGAAGTACCTGGTGTCACTCTCCAGCCCGTGTACTTCGGTGCTGAACGTATTGCCTGCGGGAGAGACAAAAGCAAGAAGAAAGAAGATGCAAAGTCTATCTATCTATCTAGTACTGCTCATACGGCTATCACCTTAAGCAGAAATTAGAACCAAATAAAATATTTTAAAAGACCTTGTTCAGTATTATTTCCATTGCACCTATTAATTTTGCCATTGAGACGGTGACCACGATCATTGGTGTCCGATAGTAGCCATGACACCCGGGCTCACACGTTTAGCAGTTCTGTATCTTTAAGTAAAGGGGTGACTAAACTAGCCCTCAACCCACTGAATACAGGGCACTCCATAACCATATGTTCAATGGTTTTGATTATATGATACGAGCACCTGCATGTTCCATTAGAGTATGATACTTTATCTCCCGGAGGAGATCAGGGCCCTGCGGGATCTATTACAGTTCCGCAAGGCCTGTAAGACGGAGCTCTTCCGCCAGGCCTTTAAATAGGAGCCGCCACTACGGTTACTATCCATGATCCTATTGAACTTCTGGATCCTAGGACTGGCCCAGATGTATCACTAGGCCCATTGGCTCAAGGGATGATGACCGGACGAACAACATGGATTTAGATCTGAAAGCACGCCATCAAATTTTTAGCACTGCGAGCACTTTATTACTAACTAGAAATAATGCCCGTTGCGGAAATAAATACAACGGGATCTAGAAAGAGGCTCTGGGAGAGTGCTCTGGCTTTGGGCAAACAGTGTCAGTTTCCCGTGGCGACCTCAGCAGGGTTTAATGACAGAGTCCACTGTTTTCTCCAGAGGGACTGATCTCTGCTACCTGAAGAGCATTTGTATGTTTGAGTTATCTGTAGCCCTCACCTGGAGAGTGGTAACCGTTGTTACCCATTTTCCTCTCCCCTATGAGGTATGCAACTGAAAATTCCAACTGCCTTGCGGGGGGGGGGAGTTTGAGGTGTGGAATGGAGTGAAGTCCAATCAATTCAATTATATATAAGGAGAGATTGTAATGTACATGAATGAGTATGTATGTTATGTAGTTTTAATTTTTATGGTTATACCAATTAGGTACATTGTACCGCTTGTGTTAGCCACCCTGAGCCTGTTCGCGGGATGGGCGGGGTATAAATATAATAAATATAATAAATAAATATAATAAATAAATAAATAAATATTATAGCTGCCCTCCAAAACTGCCGAGGGAAGAACATTCAGTCTTGCCAAAGTAAAAGCTCTTCTTAGTTTTGCGACTGTCAATTGATAAAAATATTTTGGCAGTTGCATCGGGAGGGGAATTCCCAAATGAATTTATTTATTTATGATTTATTAATTTGACCAAAGGCGAGCTCAGGGCGGCTCCCATAAAACTAATAAAACAATATACATCTTATAAAATTACAGATGCATCAATTAAAAGCATTAAGATCAATGGCGATACAAGACAGTAAAGTGCAATTGGAGACACGTGAAGACACCCTAATAGACGTGCTTGTAACATCCAATTTCCTTACAGATTTTTAAATTTGTCTTCTAACGTCTTTAGTGTCTATATTTTTAATCATATCATTCATTATTCCTAGGCATTTCGTTTTCTTTTCCAATAGTTGATCCCATTGGCTGTAATGTGTATCTGCCTGGATAAGCCCGAGTAGATCCTCCCTCAGATTCTAAAACCTTTTCTTTAAAGAAAAAGCTTTAATCCAAGCCCTAGCAAAGTCCATTTCCTTCAGATGCTCAACCATTTCAGAACCCTGTTCAGGGCACTGTGGATGCACCGCTTGTGAGATGAACAGTGGCCAGGGAGTTACGAACAGAATCCAGGTTCTTCTTGGCAAGCGGTACACATCCACACTATATACCGTCTTCCTCGTGCCTCCACTGACAACTCACCCTCTCTTGTCAGGAGAGTCCACATCTCATCCGGTTGCGTGTTGTTGGCATTGTACAGGATCACATACTCCACGATTATGCCGTTGGGTTCTGACGGGGGACACCAGTGGACCTGGACGGCATAGGCGTTGAGGGGGTGCAGCCGCAGGTCCGAGGGAGGCGTGGATGGCCCTGAGCGAACGGGAAACAAGGCAAAGGGGAGACGACATGACGAACATTCGGCAAGGCCGCGAAACAAGCATTGTGAAAGTTCCCCGTTCCCAGTACTAAACTTCTAACGACATGCGATCCTGGTGGTTCTATAAAGGAAGCTCCCAACAGACTTTAAATTTAATTTTCAGGCACCGAGAGGGCCAGTGCTGTTTGGGATCACAGCACAAGGAGAAGGCTCTCCACCAACCTCTTCTGATCTTAAAGGACTCTGGGAAGCCACTATTGAGCCCCTACTGGCAAATATACAGGGATTCGTACTTCTAAGTTTCCCAGTGGGGGAAATATTTATTTATTTTATTTAAAACCTTTATTAGCCTCCTTCCTTCCTTGCAAAGCTCAAGGTGACTTACATCAGGGGTCATTTCCTGCAGGAGCGCACAGGAGCGGAGCTCCGGCAGTAAAGACCCCAGGGGGCGGGCACATGCAACAAGCCTCACCCCCCTGCTCCCAGCAGCCCTCAGTCAGAGCAAGAAGAAGAAGAAGAAGAAGAAGAAGAAGAGATTGGATTTATACCCCGTCCTTCACTACCGAAAGGTATCTCAGAGCGGCTTACAAACTCCTTTCCCTTCCCCTCCCCACAACAGACACCCTGTGAGGTGGGTGGGGCTGAGAGAGCTCTGACGGAAATGGCTCTTTTTCAAGAACAGCTCCTTATCAGAGCTACAGCTTGCCCAAGGTCATCCAGCCAGGTGCAAGTGGAGGAGTGGGGAATCAAACCCGGTTCTCCCAGATTAGAGTCCGTGCACTTAACCACTACATCAAACTTTTTTTTCGGCGTTACCCGCCGCCCCCCCCCCCCCCCGGTCCAAAACAGTCCAGTGGCACCTTTAAGACCAAGTTTTATTCAGATACAAGCTCTCCCTCCTCTGCAAGGAAAGATCTGCACGTCCCCCCCCACAGTAGCTAGCAATCCAAAACAGTCCAGTGGAGCCTGAGCGGTGGGTGTTGCCTTCTGACACACTTCCGGTGATGTCAGGGGGTGTGGCATATGCAAATAAGTTATGCTAATGAGCTCCTGCACCTCTTTTTCTACGAAATGACCCCTGACTTACATCATAGATAAAGTACATAAAACAAAATCCATTATAGAACATAAAAACCAAAATTTAAAATCACAACTCAGGACTCCTGGTGAAATTAACCAAATGGGGTCCTAAATAAAACCATCTTCAACTGCGTCCTGAAGATCGAAAGTAGAGATCAAACAGAACATTTGATCAAAGATCAAATGGGGCCGTTTCAGACCAGAATGGGGTACAAGGGGGCTGGCCTTACACATGAACACCCCCCCATCCCCTTCAATGGAGAATCCGATCAGCACTGGGACCCCAAGTGCTTGAGGATAAATTTTTTGAAAACACCGGGCGCTCTAGAATTCATCTTAAAATGGCGAGTAGTTCATGAAGTTGTGCCCTTTGTGAAATGAGGAACTAAGAATGAAGAGAAGAAGAAGAAGGAGATTGGATTTGTATCCCGCCCTTCACTACCCAAGGGAGTCTCAGAGCGGCTTGCAAACTCCTTTCCCTTCCCCTCCCCACAACAGACAGACACCCTGTGAGGTAGGTGGGGCTGAGAGAGCTCTGACAAAAACTGCTCTCTTTCAAGAACAGCTCTGCCAGAACGATGGCTTGTCCAAGGTCATCCAGCCAGGTGCAAGTGGAGGAGTGGGGGAATCCAACCCGGTCCTTCCAGATTAGAGTCCGCAAACTTAACCATTACACCAAACTAGATGGGTTTTGCCCACCCGTAATTTGGAAGTAGGATGAGAAGTTGAAACTACTCTGGCTTCTACTCATTTTCAGATTTTGTTCAGTCATCATGATGAATAGAAGCTTGCTTAAAAAACAGATTGCCTTCTGTGCCAGATGCTAATTTATATGTCAAACCTTAAACCACGCCACAGATGCATGGAATGCACACATGGCGAATCTGCTACCAAGATGGATCTTCTAGACCTGACCTGGATAGCCCAGGCAAGCCCGATCTCATCAGATCTTGGAAGCTAAGCAGGGCTGACTCTGGCAAGTGTTTGGACGGGAGACCTCCAAAGGAAAACCAGGACTGGGATGCAGAAGAAGAAGAAGAAGAAGAGATTGGATTTATACCCCTCCCTTCACTTGGAGTCTCAGAGCGGCTTACAAACTCCTTTCCCTTCCCCTCCCCACAACAGACACCCTGTGAGGTGGGTGGGGCTGAGAGATCTCTGACACAAACTGCTCTTTTTCAAGGACAGCTGTGCCAGAGCTTGTGACTGACCCAAGGTCACATCAGCAGGATGCGGAGACACGCATAGCAAGCCACCTCTCTGCCCCAGCAGGAGTCGCCAGAGGCCGCCATGACTTCCAGGCACAGGCGTGCATGCACACACACACACACACATGCAAAGATACCCCCAAATAAAATACATTTTACACAACAGATCTCCTCATGCCCCTCAATCCCCAGTCCTTTCCCCCAAATCTGCAGCTTCTGTACTCACTGTCTGGAAGGGTGAACCACTCCACCACATTTCCAAATGGCCCGTCGATGCCGACGCCGTTCGACTGCACTGCGAACTCGTACCTGGTGAACGGCTTCAGGCCGCTGATGAGGATGTCTTCGTCGGAACTGTTGGGAAAAAGGAACGCTCGTCTGGGGAAAACATATGATGACGGGAACTTGTCACACTTACGATAACGAGAGGGACGCGGGCTGGGTGGCCCTCAAAGTGACAGACTTGGCAGGCCCCATGAGTTTATAAAGACCCCTTTAAATGGAAAAGAGCAAGAGCACAGTAGCACCTTGAAGACTAACAAAATTGGTGGCCGGCAGCAGCTTTCCTGAGTGGCTGCTCACTCCTTCAGATACAGCTGGAATATTTGGGAGACTGGAGTGATTCCAGATACCAAGAATGACAATAGCGGGCAAATGACAATAGCAGGTGTGACTGGATCAGTTCTGATACGCAGAGGGGTAGTCGGCGTGGAGAAATCAGCATTAGTAAGATGAGCACCGCCCCCTAGAGTCAGATTCGACTAGCTTTCGAGCAAGGGACACCTTTACGTTAGAGAAGAAGTTAAGAATTTAAGGACTGGCGAAACCGTTAAAGAGCAAATGATAAAGTGGGCAGTTAATATGAACAAAGAAATCAATATGGCAACTTTGGAATTTTTATGGGAAAATGCTATGAAAATATCAACATGTAATAATTTAAAAGAAAATTGTTATAAGATGATGTATAGATGGTACATGACACCAGAAAAGATTGCAAATATAAATAGTAATATGTCAAACAAATGTTGGAAATGTAAAAAAAAATGGAAGGCTCCTTTTATCATATGTGGTGGACATGTGACAAGGCAAGAAGTTTTTGGGCTGAGATACATAAAGAAATGGAAAAAAATTGTAAAATGTAACTTTAAAAAAGAACCTGAAATATTGCTGTTGGGACTTAAAATGGAAGAAGTTAATGTGCAGAAAAGAACACTGATGTGGTATATGATCACAACTGCTAGAATGACCTATGCACAATGTTGGAAACAAGACAGAATCCCGGAAGGGGAATGGATAAAGAAATTAAGATTCATGGTTGAAATGGACAAAATGACAAGGAAACTTAAGAACCTTGAGGCAGAAGAATTCTATGCAGATTGGAAAGACTTTAAAGAGTATCTAGAAAAATATTGGGATGTAAAGGACAATTTAATTTGCTTTGACAATTATTGAAAAGTTAATGTTATTAGATGAAAGTTAATTAAGAGAAAATACTAGTAGAAAGAAGCGTTACCGGTAGACTATGACTAGAAGATAAGTGGAAAATAGAAACAAAACTAAGAAATGGGCTGGAGGTTGGAGCACTGTGGGAAGCCAGAAAAGGGGGGGGGGAGAGAAGAAAGGATGTATAACAAAAAATAATATGTTGTAAAAGGTAAAGGTAAAGGTTCCCTTGCTCGAAAGCCAGTCGAATCCGACTCTAGGGTTGCGGTGCTCATCTCCGTTTCAAAGCCGAAGAGCCAGCGCTGTCCGAAGACGTTTCCGTGGTCATGTGGCCGGCACGACTGAACACCAAGGCGCACGGAACGCTCTTACCTTCCCACCAAAGTGGTACCTATTTATCTACTTGCAATTTCTTGCTTTCGAACTGCTAGGTTGGCAGGAGCTGGAACTAGAGACGGGAGCTCACCCTGTCTTGCGGCACCCGGGTCTTGAACTGCTGAACTACTGACCTTCCACAGCCTGCAGTTCAGCATCTTAACCACTTAATATATCCTAATAAATTGTTTTTGAAGAAAAAAAAAGAATTTAAGGATTGGCCTACTCCCAGCATAACACTAAGTTGTATCAAGCTGACACCTCTGAAGATAATAAGATCATTCCTGAGGAAGACTGGGATGAAACGAGCCTGTATCCGGGTTCTCCTACAGATCCTAGCAACACCATCAGTGGATCCAGCAACATCAGCTATTACCATACCATCTCAGGTTCCTACTCCTGCTCATTCTCTAACGTGATAGATGCCATCACGGGTCAGCCATTGCCCTTCCACTCTCTAAACTGGACAAGCAGGCCAATCTCTTTGGAAAAAAAAACATTAATGGACATAAGTCTGACATTAGGAACCGCCACAACATTCAAAAACCAGCGGGGGGACAGTTTAACCTTCCAGGGCATTGAGTGACTGACCTAAAAGTAGCAGTTCTCTGTAGGAATTTCAGAGGAAGATTAGGAAGAGAGGCTGCTGAATCGCAACTGATAATGAGGCTCAAGACAATGACTCCTCCTGGACTGGATGGAGACCTTGGTTTGCTGTCTCATTATTAACCAGAACTGCACACAGTACTCCAAATGAGGACGCACCATTGATTTATACAGGGCCATAATGATACTGGCTGATTTGTTTTCAGGTCCCTTCCTAATAATCCCCAGCATAGCGTTGGCCTTTTTAATTGCAGTCGCACACTGTCTCGACATTTTCATTGCGTTATCTACTACGAAGTATTGAGTACACTCCTGAGGCTTGCAGAGAGCAGTTTGCCAACCTAATGTCAGCATAAAAATGGTTTATATAAGTAAGTAAATAAACCCCAGGGTTACCCTGCCTGCCACCCCGTCTCCCACAGGACTGGAGGCTGCAGGGGGTGTTTGTTCAGGACAAGGCAAGAACTCGTTCTGAATCTCCCCGGCTGGCCCAGGGGAAAGGCCGGACAACCCTCAGATTGGTTCTGGTCCCAACCGGACAGCCCCCGTGTAGGTTCTCCACCACTCTCTTACCTCGTGTAGTACGTCACGAGCGAGGCGTTCTTCAGACCCCAAGGGCTGAAGCGCACGGTGTAATTGACAATCTTCACCGTGGTGAAATCGGGTTTCTTCCACCGCAGCCAGATGGACGTGGAGCTGTTGGATTCCGCGTAGACGTGGGCTGGGGGCAGCGGGGGGCCCTTCCGAACTGGGGGGTCTGAATGCATGGTCAAGGAAAGAGAAAGCAGATTCGGCGGCACAGACGTTTACCTCTGGAATGTCACACAAGGAGCCGTGCTAGCCACTGGGGTTGTAAACACCAGTCAGTGCTGCGAACCGCACCGTTAAGCTGTACGTGGGGAGGCACCAATTCCTGGCACCGTGTGGCTGACCAGTAAGTTGCCCCCCACCCCAAGAAAAAAAAACCCCAAACCCTCTGCACCTAAGTAATTCAGATCCATCACCAAGAAAATGTTCAGAACCCATACAAATTATATTTCTTCTGCTATTGAGGATCTCTCCCATTACATTTTTGATTGCTCATTGTACTCCCAGCCTAGGTCAAAATTTTTATCTGGTATTTTATCAGTTTTAAGCTTTTACTCAGTCCATGAGAAGATTATATTTTTGCTAGCCGATGCCAATGCCGATGTATCTAATAAAATGGCTCTATTTGCCTTGGCTGCAAGGAAAATACGGGCCAACGCTGCTACTAGCTAATACTGATTTTAGTGGGTATGTTGTGAATTAATTAACTGTTCATAACCTCGGTTTTATGGATTTATAATGTTTGGACTGTATCTTATTTTATACAGTTTTTATGTTTTATTGTGTTCTTCTGCCTGTGGTTTGTAATGGCCTATGGCTAAATACAATAAAACCTTCTCTCTCTCTCATCTCTAGTTCCAGCTCCTGCCAACCTAGCAGTTCGAAAGCAAGAAATTGCAAGTAGATAAATATGTACCACTTCGGTGGGAAGGTAACAGCGTTCTGTGCACCTTGGTGTTTAGTCATGCCGGCCACATGACCACGGAAATGTCTTCAGACAGAGCTGGCTCTTCCGCTTTGAAATGGAGATAAGCAACGCAACCCTAGAGTCGGGCTCGGCTGGCTTTCGAGCAAGGGAACCTTTACCTTTACTTTACCTCTCTACAAATCATATTAACAAAACACTTTTTCACGCATTCTTCTTCAGCATTTATTTCTTTATATCCCACCTCTCAGCTGGGACGCAAAGCTGCTTAGAACCTCGCTTTCCCCTCCTCCATTCTCTCACAACAGCCCCGTGAGGCAGGCCAGGCTGACCATCTAAGAGAGGCTCAAGGCCACCCAGCAAGATTCCCTGGGAGAAGTGAGGATTTGATCCCCAGATCTCCAAAGATCCTACTCTCTTTATCCACTACGCCCTGCTGGCTCTCTGCAAGGGGAAGGCAACTGGGATCCTAGGAAACCTACTACGCGTAGAGGACCACCATGTAATGTGCCTCCAGGGCCCTCTGCACATGGCTTTGCGGGCCTCGGCAAGTGACAGCTATCTGTAAATACAAGTGGGGACCCACGATGCTCACGGCCGCAATGTTCCCTCTAAGCTGAGTTAGTGTGAGTCCGGCTTCCGCCCGGGACACGGGACGGAGACGGCACTGGTCGCTCTGACTGACGATCTCCAGAGACATCTGGATCAGGGCGGTTCGGCAGTACTGATGTTGGTGGACCTGCCGGCTGCGTTCGACACGGTCGACCTTCGGTTGCTGCTTCGCCACCTCGCCGACATGGGAATACAGGGGCTTGCCTTGCAACGGCTTGCTTCCTTTCTCCAAGGTCGGGAGGCACTTGGGGAGCAGCAGTCCAGGAGGCACCCGCTGGAGTGCGGAGTGCCTCAAGGGGCAGTGCTCTCCCCGATGCTATTTAACATCTATATGCGCACCCTTGCCCAGATGGCCCGGAGTTATGGGTTGGGGTGTCATCAGTACACGTGACACCCAGCTCTATCTGATGCTGGGCGGCCGGTCGAACTCCAGTCCTGAAGATTTGGACCGGGCGTTACAGGCTGTGGCTGGTTGGCTCAGGCTGAGTCGGCTGAAACTGAATCCGGCGAAGACGGAGGTCCTGTGTGTGGGGCGGGGCGGGGCGCGGGTGGGGACCCCACTCCCGACCTTCGGTGGGGCATCATTGCTGCCAGTGCCGGAGGTTAGGAGCTTGGGAGTGCTCCTGGATTCCTCCTTAACAATGGAGGCCCAGGTAGCAGCCACTGCCAAGTCGGCTTTTTACCGTCTTCGGCTGAGCAGGCAGTTGGTCCCCCTTCCTCGACCGCAACGACCTGGCCACAGGGATCCATGCGACGGTCACCTCGAGACTAGACTACTGTAATGCTCTCTATGTGGGCCTGCCCTTGTCGCAATTTCGGAGGCTGCAGCTGGTGCAGAACGCCGCGGCCAGGCTGTTGATGGGCTTACCAAGATGGGAGCACATCCAGCCTGTGCTGAAGGCCCTGCACTGGCTGCCAATAGCATACCGAATTCGTTTCAAGTTGGTGGTGCTTACCTTTAAAGCCCTATATGGCCAGGGTCCGACATACCTGAGGGACCGCCTTTCCCCACATATACCCCAGAGAACACGGAGGTCAGGGGTCACAGAATCGGTTGACCCTCCCGGGCCCCAAGGATGCCAGGCTCGCTGCGACCAGGGCCAGGGCTTTTTCAGTGGTGGCTCCTCACTGGTGGGACGATCTCCCGGAGAAGATCAGGGCCCTGCAGGACCTTTTGCAATTCCGCAGGGCCTGCGAGACGGAGCTCTTCCACCAGACCTTCAACTGGGAGCTGCCCCTCCACTATTAGCATCAACGAGCCCGCCCCTCAGTTTTTAACAACTGGCTCTTTTCCATCGAGCGACGCGGCTGGCCCTTTCCATCAAGCAACGCGGGACGACAGAGAACTGGAATGTCGTAGTTGCTTAGACACCGGATTGCGCCATAGTAGCAATGAACCGTACAATCAACAGCACCTCATGTTTTTAGATTTTATATTTCTATTAAGCATTGTATTGGTTTATACGGCTTTATCGTTTGCTGGCAACTGGTGCCATCACTGTAAGCCGCCCCGAGCCCATTCGCGGGGAGGGCGGGGTAGAAACCGCGTTAATAAATAAATAAAAATAATACACTCTATACAATAAATGGTCTTTCTTTTGAAAGCGTGTGGTTAATTGGTGTGCGTTTGGGATCTGACAAAGAAAGAGCCCCCTGGCACCTCGAGTGAGTTTCCCTTTCTCCAGGTTGGGAGGGGGGCCACATCACAGGGTGCGTCACATACCCCTCCCCGATCTCGGGGGCTCGCCCAGAGCAGTTCCCGGTGGGCTCGCTGAGGCTTCCTTCCCCCCCTCCCCACTCTTGGCAACTTGCCTGGAGCCAGGGCTATTTTGGGGCAGGAACGCACAGGAACGGAGTTCCGGCCGGCTCCCGAGTTGGCCACGCCCAGCAGGAACTCATTAGCATAATAGGCCACACCCAACAGCAGGAACTCATTAGGATTGGCTACATTAGGGGTGTGTGGCCTAACATGCAAAGGAGTTCCTGCTACAAAAAAAGGCCCTGGGTTTGGACAACAAACAAGGTCAACAGAATAAGAAGCAAAAGGTGGGTGTGGCTGGATGAGCACACTTCTGGTAACACGGGAATGCTGCCTAATATGCTAATGAGCGGTGCAGTCAGGGGTGTGGCCTAATATGGTAATGAGTTTTTACTGCTGGGTGTGGCCTATTATGCGAATGAGTTCCTGCTGGACTTTTTCTACCAAAAAAGCCCTGCCTGGAGCTGCTTGGGGTGACCTCGCCAAGGCTTCCTCCCCCCACCTCCACTCCCAGGCCCAGCGCGACTCGTGGCTTGTGCCGCCACTGGTGGCAGGCTCCTGGGTTCCACCACTGAAACGAGCATGGCTCCCCTGCACCACCAGTGAACGCTGGAGATAAGTGCCTTCTTTGCACTTGCGCAGAGAATGCTACTTGACTTTGGGGGGAATTACTCCCCCCCCCATATAGTTTTTTAAAAATGTTAGGATTTTCCTGCAGAGTGCACACCCAGGGGGTGCCCCGAGCGTGCAGAAAAATCTCTTTACCCTGTGTGTGCCCCCTATCTGCAGAAATAACTATCGGCACATAGGGGGGCACAGTTGGGAATCAGATATACAGAGGTGCTAGTGAAGGCACGCGACGGGACACCTACTAGCTGAGGTGACCGGCGCTCTCTCCGTCTTGCCTTTCCACACTGCCGCATAGCCGTCTTCGTGCTTGTTGAACGCCACCAACTTCACCTCGTAGAGTCTTCCAGGAACTGGGGAAGGAAGGAAGGAAGGAAGGAAGGAAGGAAGGAAGGAAGGAAGGAAGGATACGAAGGAAGGAAGGAAGGAAGGAAGGAAATTAATGCCAGGCTGGTAGTCCAGGACATCAAAAGCACAAAATGCTATGCTGGGGATTATTAGGAAGGGTATTGGAAACAGATCAGGCAATATCATAATGCCGCTATATAAATCAATGGTGTGACCTCATTCGGAATACTGTGTACAATTCTGGTCACCACACCTTAAAAAGGATATTGTAGCTTTGGAAAAAGTGCAGAAAAGGGCAACTCGAATGATAAAAGGGTTGGAACACTTTCCCTATGAGGAAAGGTTAAAGCGCTTGGGGTTCTCTAGCTTGGAGAAACGACGACTGAGGGGTGACATGATTGAGGTTTATAAGATTATGCATGGGAAAGAGCAGGTAGAGAAAGAGGTACTTTTCTCCCTTTCTCACAATACAAGAACTCGTGGGCACTCCATGAAACTGCTGAGCGGTCGGGTTAGAACAGATAAAAGGAAGTCCTTCTTCACCCAAAGAGTGATTAATAGAATTCACTGCCAGAGGAAGTGGTGGCGGCTACAAGCATGGACGGCTTCAAAAGGGAATTAGATAAGCATATAGAGCAGAGGTCCATCAGTGGCTATTAGCCACAAGGTATAGATAGGGGCTCTGGGGCAAGTGATGCTCTGTCTTCTTGGTGCTCGGGGGGGGGGGAACAGTGGGAGGGCTTCTAATGTCCTGGCCCCACTGCTGGACCTCCTGATGGCCCCTGGTATTTCTGGCCACTGTGTGACACAGAGTGTTAGACTGGATGGACCATTGGCCTGATCCAACATTGGCTTCTCTTGTGTTCTTAGCTTCACCTCTGACACCTTCGTCTCAAAAGACAAGCATTCAGGGCTCTCAACTCATGGCGGCCACGCCTGTAGCACACTTTCCTTACACTGAGTCCAACCGCTTCAGGCTGTAGGTCCACCTTCCTTGGCCACCCACATCCAACCAGGGAAGCGTGATCTGGGTCCAAAAGCCACTGCCTTCCGGGATTCAGAAGTGTATTTCCTTTGACCATGAACACTTCGTGTAGCTAACGCCAGGTGACCCTCCATGCATCTAGGGCAGCCACCAGCACAGGGCGGTGGGGGCAGTGGCTTCCACAAAGAATGGATAGAACTAAATATTTGTTTTTTGAAAACGAGGGGGGGAATGAGAAAACAAGTAATAATGGCTGGATTGGAGTCCAGTTAGCACCTTAGAGACCAACGAGATTTTGGGGAGCGCGAACTTCGGAGAGTCAAAGCTCCCTGTGTCAGACGAGCTTTGTCTCCCGAAAGCTTATCGTAGACTCCAAAAAAACCTTGGCCGTCTCCAAAGTGCTCCTGAATTCGAATCCAGCTCTTCTTCCACCGCCGACAAACATGGCTGCCCTCTCAGTCTTCAAAGAAGGATTGAAACGGCGCAGCTGGCGTTCGTCTAGCAGCCCAAAGCAGCTCCCCTGAAATCCTCCTCATCCTGCCACAAGCAAGAGCCGGGTACGTTTTTGTAGCCCTCTTAAAAACGCAGATCCAGACCAGTGTTCCCTCTAAGCTGAGTGAGCGTGAGCCAGCTCACAGTTTTTTAGCTTCCAGCTCACAGATTTTTTTGTCTTAGCTCGGGAAGGAGGGCTCCAGAGCAAACTAATGTATGCAGCGGCCAAATCGCTCGCTCACAGCTTTAATGCCAGGAGCTCACAAAGTAGAATTTTTGCTCACCGGACTCCACAGCTTAGAGGGAGCATTGCTCCAAATGGATCCAGGCCGGCAGCCTTTGGAAGACCCCAGCTGAGCAGCCATTGCAGAGAACCCTCGGCTCCACGGTCCCTCCAACCTCTGCTCTTGAGCGTACAAACCCCGGAGCAGGGCTTTGAAGCGTTCTCGATTGTCCGCTGCCAACCAAGACCAGTCCCGAGCCTTTGGAAAGGAGGGCGGACTCAAAATGGAACAACTGCACAACCCTGCGGTCCTGCTGTGCAGCGTCGCACAAAGTGCCGAGACAAAAAGAAAACGGAGCGAAGCCCGAGAAGAGCGCATCCCCATCTGCCAGCTCCCTTTGGTCACACTGCCCAAGGCCAGCCAGAAAGCCTGTCCCAGAGCCCTTTCTCCTCTCGCCTTTTCTATCCCTCGCCGGGAGCCATTCTTCGCCCTCCTTTTAAAGGGCCTGCTCTTTCAAGGGAATGGCTCAAACAGCTCAGAGTTTACAAACAGAAGGGAAAAGGAGCGATTCTCTCTCTCTCTCTCCCTCTGGAGACCCAGGGACTTGTTCCCAAATGGTTCTCCCCCCCACACACTATCCCCCCTCCCCGCACAGTCAACCGCACTCCATTAATGAAGCTTCGCTGCTAATTAGGGATGTGCCTATTCATCCCCCACCGGGAAGGGCCGCGCGGCTCCAACGCAGTGCCTTTCACGATGCCAACAGGACCCCGCTCCCTTCGTTTGTCTCGGGGAAGGCAGAACTGGCCGTGCCAATCCCCCCCCATCCCATCAGAAAAGCACAGGGGGGGGGTCAGGAGAAAAAGGCCCTTCTCCTCTACAGCACCCACTGACGTCTGGAAGAGAAATAACATTTTGGGCTGCTGGCCCCAAAGAACCCCGAAGGTAGGGGGGGTGTTGAAACATCTCAAACAGAGCCAGTGAAAGGGGGGGTCAGGGCTATTTGGGGGCAGGAAAGCAGAGGAACGGAGTTCCGGCTGGCTCCCAAGTTGGCCACGCCCAGCAGGAACTCATTAGCATAATAGGCCACACCCAACAGCAGAAACTCATCAGGATTGGCTACAATTAGGGGTGTGTGGCCTAACATGCAAAGAAGTTCCTACTCCAAAAAAAAGGCCCTGGGTTTTGACAACAAACAAGGTAAAGAGAATAAGAAGCAAAAGGTGGGTGTGGCTGGGTGACCACACTTCTGGTAACACGGGGGTGTGGCCTAATAGGTGAATGAGCTGTGCTGCCAGGGGTGTGGCCTAATATGCTAATTAGTTCCTGCTGTTGGGTATGGCCTATTATGCTAATGAGTTCCTGCTGGGCTTTTTCTACAAAAAAAGCCCGGGGGGGGGGGGTCATGCATCTGGGGGGACAGGGGGCCTCAAAGGGGGTTCTGAGGCCAAACTCTTGAAACTGCCTTAAATGGAGAGCACCGATCCATCAAAGTCAGTATTGTCTGCTCTCCAGGGTCTCAGGGGCTGGCCTTCCACATCACCCGCAACCTGGTCGTATAACTGGAAATACCGGGGATTGAACCTGGGACTTCCTGTAAGCCAAGAAGATGCTCTACCGCTGAGCCACGGCCCTCCCCCGATCCCTTTCCCACCCCAGATACAACACAGGAAGTCCTCAAACCAGTTTGGGGTTAGTTCCAGCCCAGAGTACAAGGCGGGAATCCCGGCTGGTTGCCAACACGCTCTCCAACTGATGTGGGTTTCAACGCGTCTGGTTCAAATAAATACCATGCCGTATTGTCAGACTATGGGGAGGGGGCCATGGCTCAGTGGTAGGGCATCAGCTTGGCATGCAAAAGGTCCCAGGTTCAGTCCCCGGCCTCTTCAGCTAAAATGACCAGCTCAAAAGTAATGGAAAAGACCCCAGAGAGAAGAAGAAAAGATTGGATTTATACCCCACCCTTCACTCAGAATCTCAGAGCGGCTTACCATCTCCTTTCCTTTTCCCTCCCCACAACAGACACCCTGTGAGGTAGGTGGGGCTGAGAGAGCTCTTTCCAGAACTGCTCCTGCGAGAACCCGCTCTGAGAGAACTTGTGACTGACCCAAGGTCACACCAGCAGCTGCATGTGGAAGAGTGGGGAATCAAACCAGGTTCTCCAGATTAGAGTCTGCTCCTAACCACTAGTACACCAAAGCACTACACATACAACATTGACCTGGACATTCCAGCACTCCGACTGGCAGAATGCGGCTTCGTAGCTCCACGGCAGAGCGTCTGCTTGGCATGCAGAAGTTCACAGATTCAGTCCCCAGAATCTCCTGTAAAAAGGGATGGGTGCAGTGTGCCCTCCAAGCTGAGTTAGTGCGAGCCAGCTCACAGTTCTTTAGCCTCCGGCTCACACATTTTTGTCTTCGCTCAGGAAGGGATGGCTCCAGAGCAAGCTAATTTATGCAGTAGCCAAATCGCTTGCTCAGAACTTTAATGCCAGTAGCTCGAAAAGTAAGAATTTTTGCTCACAAGACACCACAGCTTAGAGGGAGCATTGGCTGGGTGATAGGTGATGTGAAAGAGCCCTGCCTGAGACCCTGGGCAAACCGCCGCTGGTCAGAGGAGACCAAGATGGAGCCAGGGCCCGACTCAACATAAGGCAATGTCATGTCTTTGGGATCAGAATTCGGTTCTTTGCAGCGGTACTAATTTGCACAGGAGATGCACCCGTGATGGAGGAACTGGTGCCTGATCATCTTTGCCAGGGGTCATTTCCTGCAGGAGCGCACAGGAGCAGAGCTCCGGCAGTAAAGAGCCCAGGGCGTGGGCACATGATACAAGCCCCACCCCCTGCTCCCAGCAGCCCTCAGTCAGAGCAAGAAGCAGCCAGGTAAGTTGCAGAGCTCCCCCCGGCCCCAAAACAGTCCAGTGGCACCTTTAAGACCAAGTTTTATTCAGGTACAAGCTCTCCCTCCTCTGTGAGGACAGATCTGCACGTCCCCCCCCCAATAGCTAGCAATCCAAAATGGTCCAGTGGAGCCTGAGTGGTGGGTATTGCCTTCTGACACACTTCCGGTGATGTCAGGGGGTGTGGCATATGCAAATGAGGTATGCTAATGAGCTCCTGCACCTCTTTTTCTACGAAATGACCCCTGAATTCTTTGCTCTGCCTCCAGCGCCCTGCCACCTCCCCGAACCGTCTCTTCTGAATCACGTCTAAAAAATCCTCACTCTTAGAAATCCAGCGCCCACAATATGCCAAATTTAAGTGCACGTATACAAATGTGCCTCATCTTCTCCATTCGTGGAAGCTGCATGGCATTCGGTGGGTTCGGCTGCCGCGTAAACAGGGCCCTGATCACGAACCTTCTTTCATGCTTTTTGCCACGGGGTAGGGGCACACCCACCCACAGGAACACAATCAGACCCCTTTGTCCATCCAGGTCAGTATTGTCTACTCAGCCTGGCAGCAGCTCTCCAGGGTCTCAGGTTGAGGTCTTTCATATTACCTGATCCTTTTAAAAAAAAAAAACAGGGGGGGCTGCCTGGGATTGAACATCAGACCTCCTGCGTGCCAGGCAGATCATCTACTGCTGAGCGATGGGCCCTTCCCTAAAAGGAGCTGCCTTGTACGGCGTCAGATCCTGGGCTGACCAAGTTACAGTCCTTTATTTGACTAGTTGCAACTCTCCAGAGTGGACTCTGGTCTTTCTCATCACCTATTATCTGGTCCTTTCAACCGGAGATGTCGGGGATTGAACCTGGGACCTTCTGCATGCCAAGCAGATGCTCTTCCACTGAGCCACAGCTCCTCTTTGCAGCTCTCCAGGGTCTCAGGCGGAGGTCTTTCCCATCACCTACTGCCTTGTCCTTTTAACTGGAGATGCCGAGGATTGAACCTGGGACCTTCTGCATGCCAAACAGATGCTCTTCCACCGAGCCACAGCCCCTCTTTACAGCTCTCCAGGGTCTCAGGTAGAGGTCTTTCCCATCACCTACTGCCTTGTCCTTTTAACTGGAGATGCCGGGGATTGAACCTGGGACCTTCTGCATGCCAAGCAGATGCTCTTTCACTGAGCCACAGCCCCTCTTTACAGCTCTCCGGGGTCTCAGGCTTTCACATCACCTACTGCCTGGTCCTTTTAACAGGAGATGCCGGGGACTGAACCTGGGACCTTCTGCATGCCAAGCAGATGCTCTTCCACCGAGCCATAGCCCCTCTTTCCAGCTCTCCAGGGTCTCAGACGGAGGTCTTTCCCATCACCTACTGCCTTGTCCTTTTTAACTGGAGATGCCGGGGATTGAACCTGGGACCTTCTGCATGCCAAGCAGATGCTCTTCCACTGAGCCACAGCCCCTCTTTCCAGCTCTCCAGGGTCTCAGGCAGGTCTTTCCCATCACCCTACTGCCTGGCCCTTTTCAATGGAGACGCTGGGGATTGACCCTGGAACATTCTGCATGCCAAGCAGATGCTCTTCCACTGAGCCCCGTCCCCGTCTCCACAAACTGCAGCACTCAGGAAACTCACCCAGCTGGGTCAGTTCGTACTGCTTGACTTTCTTCTTCAGCTTTATCGGGCCAACATCCCACGGGCCGTCGTCCGTGCCCTCGGAGGGACTTTCTTCGCTCACGTCCTCGGCGGCCACTTCTCGGTAGTAGAGCTTGTAGCCTGAAATCTGGGCGTGGCTGGCCGGGGGTTGCCAAGTCACTAAGAGAGACTCCATTTTGGCTCGGACTTTTAACTCGGTCGGGGCAAACGGAACTGGAGAAAGCAAAGGAGAAACGCATGTCACATCAGGAGACCCACGGGTGGTGCCCTACGGACCGCGAGTCTCCAGTTAATCTTTCTTACCACCTCTCCACCCCAAAACTCACCCTCCCCTCCAAACTGGCTCCCTGGCCACGACCCTGCATTTCAGCGCCGCCTTCCTCTGATGCTTCCCCTTCTCGCCTCTAATGCCTCTGGTCTGGTTTCCACAAATCTGCACTTCATCAGTCTTAATTATGCCTCCTGGCTCAGAGCCATCCGCATCACTCCGAGCCCGGGCATTTATCCCCCTTGGAAGCAGGCCCAGGTGAAATGGGTGGTGACCTACCATGTGTCTGGTTGTCCCTGTCCGGGGTACGATGCTGCGTCCACTCGGAAGGGGCTCCGTAGCCCACGCTGGTGCTGGCTGCGATGCGGACTTTGTACACTTTGTTCGGGTGCAAGCCGTAAAGAGTGAACTGGGTCTCGTTGGCGCCAACTTCAGTGGAGGAGATCAGATCTGGTAGGAGGAAACAAAAGGCCGGCAAGTTTTTAGACCGAGATGGGCAGCCGTCCATAGCAGTAGAAAACAGGAAGAGTCCAGGAGCACCTTAAAGACTAACACAGTTTGTGGCGGGGGAGGAGCTTGTGTGAGTCACGGCTCACTTCTTCACATACAGCTAGGTTGTGAGTCCGTCTGTCCTTATACCTTGGAGTGGAATGATTTCAGATGCTGAATGACGACAGCAGGTGAATGGCTCTAGCAGATGCGATTTAGGTGTGATATTCAGAGGGGTGGTGGGTGTGGAAAAATCAGCATTGGTAATGAGACAAGGAAACCTAAGTCTCAACTTAGTCCAGGAGGATGCAATATTTTTTTTTGTATTTTTTCTGTGTGTGTGTGTGAATGTGTGCACCTGGAAGTCATGGAGCCCTCTCATGACTGACCCCTACTGGGGGCCTGGAGGATATTCAAAGAGGTGGCTGAATCAAGCCTGCCCCCGCCTCCCGACTGCTGGTATTCCAGGGAGGTCTCCCATCCAAGTACTTGCCAGAGCCGACCCTAGAATCATAGAGTTGGAAGGGACCTCCAGGGTTACCTAGTCCAACCCACGATTAGCTTCCAAGATCTGACGAGACTGGGCTACCCAGGTCAAGAAAGCTTCCTCTCTGGACAGGACAGGAAGTTGGATGTCTATCCGCCCTCCACCTATTCTCCTGTCTGGCAACACAAAATGAGGACATGAACTGGGTCCTCAAACCACCGAGGGAGTCCACAATTTAGAAGAAGAGATTGGATTTCTACTCCACCCTTCACTACCCAAAGGAGTCTCAGAGCGGCTCACAAACTCCCTTCCCTTCCCCTCCCCACAACAGACACCCTGTGAGGTAGGTGGGGCTGAGAGAGCTCTGACAGAAACGGCTCTTTTTCAAGAACCGCTCTTGTCAGAACTACGGCTTGCCCAAGGTCATCCAGCCAGGTGCAAGTGGAGGAGTGGGGAATCCAACCCGGTTCTCCCAGATTAGAGTCTGCGCACTTAACCACAACACCAAACTGTGGTGCCTACTTCTCCCACACGACCCCGGGAACGCTCTCTGCCCTTGGGTCCGCTGGATGTGTGGGAGGAAACCCCTCTCCTCTCTGAAAAGACCTGATTGGTCTAGAGATCTCCCAGGGCGGTCTGAAAAGGGCCGTGCTGAATGCCAGCTTCATGGGAACAAAAGTAGAGCGCTGTGCTGCACATGATCGGTCAGCATAGAATTTAGAACCTGCCTCGATTATCGAACGGAGGGCCAAGACAGTCGACCCCTTTTTATTTTCCCGACTCCCGTCTGCTTATCTCTGTGCAAACAAACAAACTGCCTACTTTGAATCCCTGCTCTGAGGGTTGAATCTGCAACCCTGAGAATTCTCCCACGCGCCCGACCATTTGTTCACATCCCCCAGATTTCCAGGGGAGAAGCCAGAAAATAAAACATAAGTCCTGTCCAGTGGGGAATTGTGGGGGTTTTTTTACTTCATGAAGCCTTTCTCCAAACTCTCCTTAGCACTCCTGGGGCCTTCCAGGAGAGCCGGTTTGGTGTAGCGGTTAAGGGAGCGGACTCTAATCTGGGAGAACCGGGTTTGATTCCCCGCTCCTCCACTTGCACCAGCTGGATGACCTTGAGCAAGCCGTAGTTCTTATAAGAGCTGTCCGTGAAAAAGAGCAGTTTCTGTCAAGAGCTCTCTCAGCCCCACCTATCTCACAGGGTGTCTGTTGTGGGGAGGGGAAGGGAAAGGAGTTTGCAAGCTGCTCTGAGACTCCTTTGGGTAGTGAAGGACGGAGTATAAATCCGATCTCTTCTCTCCTTCTCTTCTTCTTCCACCCTGTACCCCACACTCCCCCTTATTCCTGGAACTGCATCCCAAAGCACCTGCGTGGTTCAACTCCCTCTCTGTCTTCCCTCCAATCCCTCCTCTTTTTTGGTGAAGTTTTCACCCCCCTCCATCCCTGAAACGAAGCCCGTCCACCTGAAACGGGAATGAAGACAGATCCCCCCCCCACTTACCCCCGCCTCTCCTCTCCCTTCATTGCCTTTCCTCGCTCGAGCCTTCGCTTGTACGCAGCTCGCGGCCGGTACTCTACAAAACACCCTGCCCAGCCAGGGCTCTTTTTGTAGCAGGTACTCCTTTGCATATTAAGCGACACACACCCTAATGTAGCCAATCCTCCAAGAGCTTACAGTAGCACCTGTAAGAAGAGCTCTGTAAGCTCTTGGAGGATTGGCTACATTAGGGGTGTGTGGCCTAATATGCAGAGGAGTTCCTGCTACACAAAGAGCCCTGCTGCCCACCAATGGTGCCGGAAAGTGCCGTCCAGTTGTGGGCGACTTACGGCAACCCAGCAGGGTTTTCAAGGCGAGAGGAGAACAGAGGCGGTTCCCCACTGCCTGCCTCTGCACGGCAGCCCGGGGCTTCCTCGGTCGTCTCCCGTCCAAATACAGACCAGGGCCGACCCTACTTAGCTTCTGAGATCTGACGGGACTGGGGTGGTGGTGGAAAAGTGTCGTCAAGTTCTATCTGACTTATGGTAACTCCCCTAAGGTTTTCGAAGCCAAAGGCCAACAGGGCGGTGGTTTGCCATCGCTTGCCTCTGCGTAGCAACCCTGGACTCCCTTGGTGGTCTACCATTCGAGTACTAACCAGGGCAGACATTGCTTGGCTTCTCAGATCTGACATGAAGGAGAAGGAGGAGAGGAGACGAGGAGGAGAGGAGGAGGAGGAGAGGAGGAGATTGGATTTATACCCCGCCCTTCACTTGGAGTCTCAGAGTGGCTTACAAACACCTTTCCCTTCACTACCCAAAGGAGTCTCAGAATGGCTTACAAACTCCTTCCCCTTCCCCTCCCCACAACAGACGCCCTGTGAGGTGGGTGGGGCTGAGAGAGCTCTGACACAAACTGCTCTTTTGCAAGGACAGCTGTGCCAGAGCTTGTGACTGACCCAAGGTCACATCAGCAGGTGCAAGTGGAGGAGTGGGGAATCAAACCCGGGTCTCCCAGATTAGAGTCCGCACACTTAACCACTACACCAAACTGGCTCTCGAGGAGAGGAGAGGAGATAAGAGAAGAGAAGAGAAGAGGAAGAGAAGAGAAGGAGAAGAGAAGGAGAAGAGAAGAGAAGGAGAAGAGAAGAAGGAGAAGAGAAGGAGAAGAGAAGAGAAGGAGAAGAGAAGGAGAAGAGAAGGAGAAGAGAAGGAGAAGAGAAGGAGAAGAGAAGAGAAGGAGAAGAGAAGGAGAAGAGAAGAGAAGGAGAAGAGAAGAGAAGGAGAAGAGAAGGAGAAGAGAAGGAGAAGAGAAGAGAAGGAGAAGAGGAGATTAGATTTATACCTCACCCTTCAGAGTCTCAGAGCGGCTTACAATCTCCTTTCCCTTCCCCTGTCCACAACAGGCACCCTGTGAGGCAGGTGAGGCTGAGAGAGATCTTTCAAGAACTGCTGTTGAGAGAACAGCTCTGAGAGAACTTGTGACTGACCCAAGGTCACACCAGCAGCTGCATGTGGAGGAGTGGGGAATCAAACCCGGTTCTCCCAGATTAGAGTCTGCTGCTCCTAACCACTACGCCAAACTGGGCTATCTAGGTCGCGGGTACTCACCCACCAAGAGTGCTATATAAATAAATCTGAATAACTGGAAAGGAAGGATTAATTTTAAAAAATGTACTAAGAGAGAAAGCAGGTTCCGGGCTAGGCGAAGCCCCACCCCTCTGCAAACCATCCCTTCCGCACCTTCTTTGAGGGGGGCATAGTCGATTTTGTACTTGGTGATCTTCCCGTTACTCAGTTCGGGAGGGAGTGGTGGCCACGTGACTTTGATGTCTGTCGGCGTGGTACTTGACAGCGAAACCTGAGGCGCCGCACCTGGAACTGACACGCAAGACAGGGAAACAAGTGACTCCCATTTCTTCAGGAAGGAAAGACGAGGGCAAAGCATCAATTTGTACAAAGAGCATCTTTCCACTCAGGAAGCGGTGGCGGCTACAAGCATACACAGTTCCAAGTGGGGATTGGATAAGCATATGGAGCAGAGGTCCATCCATGGCTACTAGACATGGTTTTGGCCACTGTGTGACACAGAGTGTTGGACTGGAGGGGCCACTGGCCTGATTCAACATGGCTTATGTTCTTTTATGTTCATGTTCTGTTACGTTTATGCATGGGAAAGAGCAGGTAGAGAAAGAGGTACTTTTCTCCCTTTCTCACAATACAAGAACTC